CCTTGCATAAATTCGTATATATATTCATTTCCAACGATTCGCTCTTCAGTTCTAGGATTGATTCTAAATTTTCTTAGCATTCTCATCTAATGATTTCTTGTTGAGATCTCTCAATGATCTATTATTATATAGTATATAGGTTGTTGGGAATATTTGCCACTAAATTGAGATTATGAAACTGGACCAAGTAGATAGTTTTATAAAAATCTAGTCTTTTACAGCATAATGGTCTCCTATTGTTAGGTACATATAAATATGAAATACTTCACCATATTGTCACAGCATTTTTTCGTATTTTAATTTGTGCTACTGTTGTTTGCTCAGTTTGGTGTATTCCATAACTTTAAAGGATGATCTTTAAATTTTTCTTCCTTTATATAGGGTGATCAAATTTTCATCTTTTTTAGCACTAACTCTATTTTTATCGCAGAAAACAACCAGATATGTTCTATATCCGCTGTCTTTTAATAATAAATAAATATATTATGATCATTTTTTCTGATACTAATTCTATTTTTGTAGCAGAGTCCAACTTTATTTTCTTTGTCAAGTTGATTGGCATCAGTAGATTCTTGGGAATTATCGAATGTTTAGATTCATCTAGTTCAACTCCAAATCTATTAGTCAGTAGGTCTGTTTTATCTTTTTTACATTGATTCTATTTTGACTACAGTGCTTAAGCAGAGATTTTTTATCAGAAAATTCATTGTTTTTTTCATCAATATTATCAATTTTATCTTCCATATCACTTTTACTACCAAGTTCAATTGCTCTATTGACATGGCCTATTTCTGTTGACTTTTAGAAGTAGATGGATGCCATAGGTTGATCCTTCTCATTTCTAATTTCTTTTTTTTTATCTTGATAATATGGTTCAACATTATGCACTTTCAAACTGCCGTTCTCGGCTTTATTCAGATACTATTCAAATACTTTAGGCTTCTTTTTTCTAATTTTAATTCTATTTTGAGCACAGAATTCAAGATTAGTTCTTTCATTAGTATGATCTATAATAGTGGATTCTTAGAGAGCACTAAGCATTTCACAATCATCAAGACTATTTGGTTTATAAATATAGTCTATATCAGCTTTTTTATTAACACCTATTTCAGCTAATTTTTGATGATATTTGACCATTTTCTTTTTAACTTCTATATTAGATTTAGGTTTTATACTTAGCTGGAGTTTTTCTTTATCTGCTACATTTTTTTCAT